TGGCAGTACCTGGCTCACAAGATGTGCCTCTCATCATGCTATGTTGTGATTAGGGGAGAAGATACAGCAACAGGAGGTGGAACTTGATACCTTTTTCCCAGCATCACAACATTTCCCACTGAAGTGATCCCCTTTTCTCACACGATTCTTCAAGCCCCATCAAAAAAACCCAGCCTTCAGACAGTGACTGACTTTATACACTGCAAGGAGTTGGAAACGTGACATTTATAGGGTGACATTCAGTGTGGACCTTGCCTCACCACACAGTTTTGGACCTGGAACTGGGTATCCCAGTTTGAGAACCTCATACCTCTCCCTTATACTGAAGGAGTTCAAGTTTCAGTAGGAAAAGACAATGTATTTTCTTGTGTGCCAGGGGAGAGAAGAAAATCTCCCCTCCAGATATGCTTTAGAATGAAAACAATCTTAGAAACCATGAGTGCTGATACAGAAGAGCATCATTTTCTACATTGTCCTGGTCACAAGATATATGAAATTTCTTTCTATTTACTGAGTGTTACAATATTCTAACCCTAACCTGAGTTAGCTGTGGGGTTAGAAGAAGCTTAAGAGAAAGGAAAGGAAATTACCTGGATTTGGCAAGGAGAAAAGTCTTCTGTTTCTAGAATAAAGAAGAGGAAAGCCTTCAACCACTGCACTTTTTTCAACAGTCAAGCTTTTATAGAAGGGCTCAACTGTCATCTGGTGTTTAAAGAAATATTTCTTTAGAAAGCCCAGAAGCATTTTACGTTTGGAATAGTCATCAGACAAAGATATTTCCTCTGCTTTGCAGGACAAGGGATACACATATTGACAAACTACATAGGGATAATGTAACAGTGCAAGGGATCAGGTCAGTGAAGCTACTGGTCAGAATGAAGCAATCACAGGTTGGAGAGCTTACAGAAAAGGAGGAAGGTTTTTTAAATAAATAAATATTTTTCCAACCTACTATAAAATAAGACTAGAGCTGAGCCAGAGAATCTCTCTGCAAATCATGCACAGATAAGTGCATTTTGAAACCTGTGCTGTTTTCTGGACAATTTGATTGCTTTGCAAGTGGAGTTCGACATTTTCCAAAGAGTAGTTTCCCCTCTTTTAGCAGAGCCAGAACCGATACCCCGTACATGATCATCTCCTGGCACGAGGTGATGTGTTCACTCAGCCCAGCTACCCACTGTGAGCTCAGCCATGCGGCCAAGCAGGTCTTTCCTAGGGACAGCTGTAGCAATTCCCGCTCTGTGCAATGCACTATCCTGCCTTCCCTGCAGGATACCTCCACGGCCAAGGTGAACTGCCCCACCCTCCACCCCCCCACCTTTGTAGGCAGGGTAAAATGAAAAGAGCAAGGCCATAGTCTGCAGCAGAGATATCCCTGCAGCAGGGGATGAAAACCTGTACAGTCGTGCCCACAACAGTTGGCCTCGCTTACAAGCCAAAGCTCAAAGCATGCTGCCATGACAAGGAACCTGGTTTAATTTTGCTTTTATGTTTTCATCAAGGGATTACCAGCACCAGCTCGCCTTTGGCAGGAACTTTCAGAACAATTCAGTGGATTTTTTCTCTAAGAATTCATACTCTTGATATCAGTGCTTGACACTTACTTGGTCTACCACCAATGTCCAGATGGTGTTACCACTTCCTTACATGTTTGCGGCAGAAGTCAAGGGAACTGACTATCTCCCGTACTGCATTTGGAAACCTCATTAGTCTTCGTGTCCCCTCTACAATTTCTTATTTATTTTTTGAGAGTCTTTACAGACAACACATAAAGAAATACTTGGCAGATAAGAAATACAGATATTAAAAGTTTCTTAAGACAGGAAAGCATGGTATATATGGTAAAATCAAGCCTGAAAGATCAAAACTGGCTGTGATGATACTTACCTTGTGTTCTTGAGGCTTTGCCTTAGGTACTAGAAAAGATATTTGTGAATACATGTTACTTTTTAGTCCATGTTAAAGTCACTTCACTTTAAGTTGCAAACCCCAACTTCAGCCCACATGCTCAGCATCCAGGCACACATTCACCATGGTACATTCACCATGTCCTACTGGCCAGAGTCCTTCAATTTGCTATTTAGCATTGGCTTACATTCAGAGGACTGCAGCATTGAGCTTGACTGGCCATGGTTTTCATAGCCCTATGGGCAAATCCAAGAGGCAGGTCCCCACAGGGAAGTTGCTTGGCTCCTTTTCCAATGCACAAGGCAGAAACTAACCTCCCCCAAAAGGGGCAACTTTGAAAAATGTAAAAGCAGAGCAGTGGCAACTCTGATTGATAGAGAAAATTACACTGTGAAGTAGTGATGAAGATGGAAAAGCTGTACCCTGTACATTACCATTCCCAAGAAGATGCTGAGGTTTGCCTCATTATCTTTTCTTTTTCTTCTACATGGGTAGCATCTCATGACTTTTGCCCACTGTAGTCTTATTGTAAGCACCCTCTCGCTACCAAAACTTCTAGCTAACATCTTTTTTGTCTGTGCCCCAAAGCCCTCATACACTGCCAGTGCACAGAGGAAGAGTACAGTCAGCTTTAGTCACCTGGACCAACATCCAGATGCTTTTCTCAGCTTGAAGAAACTGTATTATTTCCTTTTCTAAAGGCTCTATCCCAGATAGCACGTAATTCACCTACCAGTCTTGCCTTGCAAAGTACCTTCAATGACAGACAAGGTGGTGGTGTCCCCAGACTGATTCAGGTGCGTGCAGGTTTCTTCGTAATTATGTTGCCCTTCAAGTTGAGCACTAAGAAGATGAAAGAAAAGAGAGAAGAGATTCTTTTTATGGCCCTTTTAGAACTCTGAAAAAAAATATTCATCTTAAGGACAAGAAATTCAAGCACTTTCGTACTGAGCCTACAAGAAAGCAAAGTGAAATCAGGAATTCCTCGGAGGGAGAGGAGACCTGTGCAAGATGCAGGGTTCATCTGAGCTTTTCCCCCAACTCCACATTCCCACTGCTTTTCCTTTGGGAGGACAAGCTGCGTTTATTGGGCTCAAAGCACATCAAGGGACTTCATACTGGGATTATGGTCTTCTGCCTACAGCAATCCCTCAAGTAGAAACAGAACAAAAATTCTAAGGAAATCAGAGTGCAGCATTTTTCAAACCTGCTACAGCTACTTAAAAATGAATAAAAACCCAGTTGCACTGTTTGGCATGCTGTTTCTCGCTTAAGGAAACAGGAAGGGGAAAATACAGGTATCAGAGGGTATGTTTAAAGGTCTTGCTCCTGAGCTCATCAAGTGACACGCTCCATGCCGACATGGCGAGGGGTGCATGCCAGCTGTGGGAGGAGGCAACATGCCACAGCCTCAGCACCGCACAGCCTCAAGTATCCTTCTCCTTTTTCCTTTTCTCCTCTGGAAATTGATGTTAGCATCATCTGGGAATAGGTACAGAGAGAAATTCAAGCCTTCCCGGATTACCCAGGCAAAGCCCCGAGGCTTCCTCTCTGCCCATGGTAGCAGAAGTTTCGGCAGCTCAGGAGTGCACTGGGAAGCAGCAAATGCACAAGATGCAGCTTGCAAGACATGTGGGGGACTGGCTAGGGTGATGAAAGAGCATCAGGAAGAGTTATAGTGAGAACTCCCATCTTTTAAAAGTAAGTCTATAATAAACCTCAGGGTTTGTTTTTCCTTGAATCACCCTACTGTCACAACTCCACGTCAATGGAGTAAGGACTAAGTAGTTGTTGCAAACCAGAACAAGAGGAACAAGTAACTCAAGGTGCATTTTAACAGTAGTGAAATCAGAGTAAGTAATGACACCTAAAGTCAAGCAGAAGCTTGTGCTAATGCCAAAGGCTGCCTCTCCCCCGTAGCGACCCCAGCACTGGGAGCAGTGCTTGCCAGCTTGCTGATCCCACAGCATGTCTAGGACACGTACGTCCCACTGATGGGGACTCACATATACATATTGCATTAATACTACAAGCAGGTATTTTGTCCCCAGTGCCAAGACTTGAGGAAGAGGACACCAGGAAAACCCCCTACCCTTCTGTTCCCCAGCCCAGCCCCGGGATAAAACAGCATCCTGGGAACATGGCTGGACACCAGACAGCCCTTTATATGTACCACAGTGCTACAGCAGACCTGAAATACAGCTGGGTTGATGGATTCCTGACTAGCGTCAGTGAAGGCAGAGTGTTTATCCCCAAACAAGGAATCAGAACTCCAGATCAGTTGGCACCAACAACTATGTCAGGGTCTCTAAAAGACCAGACTTCATTACAGGTGAGGATCCCACCTCCGGGCTTCAGGGAGGGGAGTTTCTGCTCCCAAAACCCCATGATTTTGCTTTTGTGCTGGAGTTCATTTAATTAATTTCCCCAGTTATCACATGGTTAATACTTAACAAGTGACCTATTGTAAAGACCGTATCACAAGTATTAGAGCAAGATAGCTAATCTTGCTGCAATGTATTACTAGGACAGCTTCCTTGTGGTGCATGACAGCTTTCAAGTTGGTCATTTCTCGACTGGTTCTCTTCCGAGCAGTACAGGTTAAAAGTTAAACCAAACGTCAGCCAACACTGGCGGGAACACCTCATGATGTGAAAAGCACAACTTGCTGTGTCGTTAGCTGCAAGAGTTCATCGTTTGGGCACAGAAAGTATTTTAAGAATTCATCCCTTTTCGCTTTGGTCCAACCATTCTGTTTCCCATTTTCCCAGCTGTATATTCATGCAGCTGAGACAGAACATGTATATGAATATTTTTCTCCACTTTTGCTGTTCTTGTTGCACAGAACCAGGACCACTACGCAACCACTCACGACAAGTCAGAGACATAGCAGAAAAAGTCAGGATCCCCTTGTGTGCAAACCCAATTGTGTCTGTAAAACTTTTGAGCTGTTTCAGACACTTGCGGTATCAGAAGCTGAACCGATCAGCTCATGTTCCCTGGTGAGTGAGCTTGGACCACCCCTTAATAAAAATCTCGCTTCAGTATCTGGAGACAGCTGAAGTCCTGGGGATGGGAAGGGGGGGCAGTGGCTCGTGTACCCTGGCTGTGCTGGCTGCGCAAGCACATGGGAGGGCAAGCTCCTCCACTGCTGGGAAAAAACCAAAAAAAAAAACCAAACCAAACCAAACCAAAAAAACTCAACCCACAACATCTGCTGGTTACACCAGGGTTTTGTTTCAGCAACAATTCTCAAAAGCATCACTTTTCCAAAAACACCAGGCTTGAGTACATGGAAAACAGGAAGGGAAAAACACGCAGCGGACGGGTACAACCAAAGCACCAGCAGTGTTTTCCCAGGGTTTTAGCAGCGAAGCCAGACCTAATGACACACGGGCAGGGGTCTCCATGCTGCTCAAAAAGCCCAGAGGAGAAAACAGGCATGAAGCTTTCTGCTTTAGGAGAAGGTCATCCCCGCCAACTTTGAGCTTCCCAGGTAGGTTTGCACAATCCCCAGAGCAAGCTGCTGCCGCTGAGAGCAGGACATTCCCTCCAGACCACATGGGAATGCTTCAGCATCACAGGTTGGGGACACTCCCGTTGCCTGCAAGCCACACGTTGCCTCGCCACATGCTCACCTTTCTGGGGTCAAGTAATCCTCTTCATCAGCAGCTGCACACAAACACACAGAGGATTAGCGTCTGAAGGGAAGACGGCTCTCCTACAGAGCACAAGGCGATGGGGAGGTGCGATGGGGATGGCCCTTCCCCGAGGCAGCACGCCACACACAAAGGCAGGCGTGAAATAAGATTGCCAGCAGAAACTGGGGATATGGCTATGTTAATATGTCATTATTTCATGTTTCCAGGCAACAACCTCAAGCTTTCTAGAGATCAATAATTGAGTGATATTGAGAGAGCATGGAGATGACGACATATAAATGTAACTAGTTTCTTCCATCAAATTAATACATTTAGAAAAGGCAAGTAGGTTAGAAAAAAGTGTCAGTGAAAACCTCTCTCTCTCTCTCTCTCTCTCTCAAGGCCAGGGCAGACCAATAAGCATTGCCACAGTAAAGCCAAAGAGAGTTTAGCTGAGCCCTTCCCAGAAAAGCAGCTCCCTTTGAATTCAGCAAAAGTCATGCCTCAAAACCTGGCTATAATTAAGGCTGTATCTATAAAGAAATACCATTTAGCAGCCTAATAAGCAGTCCAGAATATTCTATTATGCAACATCAATGGGGTTTTATTATGGGAAACTGAACTTCTGCATTTGTTGGTGCTGGAACATTTAACGACGTTGCTCTCTGTTGTATTTAAAACAGAAGGGGGGGATTAGCAGACCAGTTTCTTCAGACTTTATTGTGCCTTCCCACAGTTGTGTGCTGCAGAGCGGAGGCATTTCCCATTGAAGCAGAGTGATAAAGATCAGCTCGCTGCATACGCAGCTGCTGCTGCTGCTTTACAGCCAGCTGTAAACCGCTCGCAACACACCGCGGCTGGGAGGAGAGCGGGTTTCTGCATGGGGGATGATATTCAACCTGGAAAATCAGATTCCTTTTCCAGATTAAGAGCAAAAAATCAGTCTCACTGACACTGTTGGGCTCTTTTTAATGGTTGAGGAAGATGTTAGAAACAAGTAACACGGTCTTATTTCCATGTGCTTGGAATCATGGCTTTACAGATGTCAATAAACTGCAAATTATTCCTTCTCTGCCTAACAGGTTTGGGAAGAAAGACCAGAAATCTCTTACTTGTTTCATTTCCTCTGTGGACTGAAGGCACAGTGCTTCGGAAAGCACTGAGGTCAAACTTTGGGGGTCTTGCAGGCTTCCCAGGGGCAGGACCCAGGAATTCAGCTGAAGGGAGAGGTTTAATTCTTGGCCGCTTGTTCCCAGGGTTGTGAGAGCATTTTCCTGCTCCTGGCTGGCAGAAAGGAGGCTCTGATTCTGCTCCAGAGAAGAACAAGGATGGGCAACAATTAGCCCTCATTTAAGCAAAAATCCATGTAGGATCATTAGCTGTTATACAAATATTTCTAACCACCTCTGCTTCCTCCCAATTTCAGCATCCCTGTTATACAGCAGGGCTCTTACCAGGTTACCAGAATGGAAAAATAAATGGGAATGTCCATTTTTACAAAGTTAACCATGTTGGGGCCTCAGCTCTCGACAGCTCCCTTCCTCTGGATTAAAAATACTAGCCTAATTTTCTGTACCGATAACATTTTAATCTGCCAGGATTTAGTGGCATAGCAGTTTTCCATACACAGTGCAAGTGAGGTAGCTTTCCAGGGTAAACAAAAACTTAATCCTTTCAGCGCCCCATCACTCGGTGTGACGTTAGCAAGGGGAACTTTGTGGCATTTGAGTTTCCTAGCACCAGTTTCTGTAAGAAATATTGCAAGGAGGATATGCTCTCTGAGCTCAAATATGGCCTTTTGCAAAGCTGGGAGGGTACAAGGGGGGAGTTCAGGTTTAAACCATTTTAATTCAAGCTAAACTGTCTTCGCAGAAAAGCCAAGCCTTTACAGGTCTGTGTGAAAACCAAATAGCAGGGTGTAGTCACATTTACCTTGTAATTGCGAAAGGCCAGAGCAGACCAAAACTGAAGATACTCCCCTGTCCTCACTCTCCATCCTACTCTCAAAATGTGGACAATTTCTTAATATGAGTTTTAAAAAATTGGTGTAGATGGGGACTCCTCCCTTTACCCAAGCTCAGCAGCAGTTTGGGGCCAATTCTTTATTTCCAGGACCTCCAAAGAAAGAAGAGAGCGCTCCAAGACTGGCCTCTTGTTTTAGGGTCACAACTCATAACAGCTTTTCTCTCTGGCTGATATATCCTGCACTTTCAGAGCACCTATACACCAATATGTTCATATATATATATATATATATATGCTCATTGTTAAGCCTATAGCTTACTATACCTTTCTGGTGCTGAGGTTGCTGTCTTGGTGCACGATAACCTGGCTGGCAGAATGCAGTTGCCACCGCGCTCTCAGCACCTGCTTCATTGGAGCTGCTGCATCCGCTGGGAGCCTGGAGGAGAGCCGGCCCCGTGCCACACAGAGCATCCTTCTTCCAGGCAGGCAAGTCCAGCATGGGCTTGCTTCCAGACAGTAGTGTCCTGCTGCTGCCCAATGCAGCAGGACTACGCAACGCCCTCTGCTCCAGGCAGGGGTGCACGTATAAGTTTGTCGCCCGTGGGTTTGGGAGCATTGCACTTGCTTTCTCACTGCAGGATAAAGTATTTTCCCAGATCCGTAAGGCACGGTGGAAAGAATTTGGGAGCGGAGGGCCCTCTGGAGCTGTTTGGGCTGATCCTTGCTGGTCAGTGCAATAAGATGGCAGAGGCTGCTCTGGACCATTCTCAGAAGACCTCAGCTCTTTCTCCAAGACATTGCCTTTGTGCTCTTCATTGTGCCCCATTTGCTCCACATAACCCAGCTGGGCTCGAGGCCACGCCAAGGGGTTGCGTTGGGTGAGCGCAGAGGGTTGGGAGGCAGGATGGGCAGGTTCATCCTTGGATTTTGGTATTATCGCTTCTCTCTTACTCAGGGGCAGAGGGCTGGACACAGCGTTACCTCCAGAGCCCAGCCTGGGAGGGATTTCAGTGGGAGGCTTCTTGCACGGCTGCACCAGCTTGTTGGCCAAGCTGGAGTCATTTTGAAATTTTGCTCGGAGAGCTCTGAAATCAGTCACGCCTTCCTGGGAGTGGAAAGAGAAGACAGCACAAAACATTGGCTTTCAAAGGTGGCAACAGGCAATTTCTACAATCATGATCATTTCAGATAGAAAGAGGCCACAGACTCCACCCGGGTCACCTGGTAAAAATTTAAAAGCAGGAGAGGAGAATTAGCTCATTCAAAGGATCTTCCAAAGGCTCACAAATCATTTCCAGTAAAGGCAATGGAGCTGAGCTGAGACAGCGAAAACACAGGAGCAGAGCATAGAAACACAACCAAGCAGAGCCAGAGGGACCAGCGGAGATGGCTCCTGCAACCCGATGTCACCCTGTGTTGGAGAATCTCCCTTGGGAGGACCTGGCAAACACTAAAATGAATGTTAGAGCTTCCTGGCAGAGATGCTGTGATACTGCTTATGTGCCTGCTAGGTAGGAAAACTGCACTTTATTTTCAGTACACAAGCATCAGCCACGGGAGAGGTTGGTGCTGCTCTGGAGATCCCCAGTCCATCCCCTGCCTCCTTCAGAAAACGCCAACATGGAAAGAGAAGCACCAAACATCCTTTCTGATGGGCTCCAAATGACCCCTGGGACAAACCCTTTTTCCTCCACTGTGTTGGTTCAGCTCAGGGTCCCCACAGCTCTTCGGATGCTTCTCCCCTTGCTGATGTTCCCACCCCCAGAAGCAGAGGACATACAAACCAAATACACAGCATGCAAGGACAGCAAGAACATCTCCTAGTCCAGGTGATGAATACTGGCCGAGATGCTCGATTCCTCTCCCATGCAGTTACCAGGCCCTAGGTTATACATGATTTTGAACAAAGAGAGCTAATCAGTGATGGCACAGTTTAAAAGGGCACTTAAAGAACATTTTGTTTCAGGTCTTTGTCCTCAGGCGTCTCACCATCCCATGCTGGAGAAAGGAGACCATAGTTTTTGTCTGCAATGCCGTGGCTTAAATTCAGCCCTGAACTGAACTAGGGAGAAAATATGAAGCAAAATTTACGAGCTACTTAAGTCCTTGAACTGCTCTTTAACTTTTTATATGCCATGATTACATTAGGTGCACTACTCTGGCAGCTTAGTTCAGTGCAGAGAATTGCAAGGCTTCACGAGAACCTGTCTAATGAGGAAATTGGAAAAAATTATCTAGGACAGAACTTCGTTATTCTGAAAAAAGCCCCAGCCTTAAGTGTTAAGGCAGAACAGATGAATAGCATACTGAGGTTTTATTGCATTTAATTGCACGATTTATTAAACACTGACAATTTTTCTTGAATAACCTCTTTCACTGACTTTATTACTTTCACAGGGTAGTGTATGATGTAAAGAAACAACCCTTGGGGGAGAGGTTTGAATTGCTCCAATTATATTTCATATTAGTGGTCAGCAGCGTGATGCCGTGTAAGCTGCCCAGACAGCCTAATCTAGGAGCGAGCCGATGGGAATGGGAATTTTCAGAAGCATACGGAGGATGAATCAGATTTTGGGAAAAAAAATAATCCCACATGTACCAGATCCCTCCAGCGATGCCAGACAGGAAATAAAGCAGCGAGGTGCCCTAATGCAATCGCGCCGAGCTTTCGCACGTGCTGCAGCAACAGTTGAAGAGTTCAATGCTGCTTACCTCTCCTTACTGATTTGTTTTACTGTAACGAATAGTTCCTCATCAGTGCCCTTGGAGACAAAATAGAAAAGAAAAAGTACCTGCGTGGCAACAGGCAATTTCTACAATCATGATCATTTCAGATAGAAAGAGGCCACAGACTCCACCCGGGTCACCTGGTAAAAATTTAAAAGCAGGAGAGGAGAATTAGCTCATTCAAAGGATCTTCCAAAGGCTCACAAATCATTTCCAGTAAAGGCAATGGAGCTGAGCTGAGACAGCGAAAACACAGGAGCAGAGCATAGAAACACAACCAAGCAGAGCCAGAGGGACCAGCGGAGATGGCTCCTGCAACCCGATGTCACCCTGTGTTGGAGAATCTCCCTTGGGAGGACCTGGCAAACACTAAAATGAATGTTAGAGCTTCCTGGCAGAGATGCTGTGATACTGCTTATGTGCCTGCTAGGTAGGAAAACTGCACTTTATTTTCAGTACACAAGCATCAGCCACGGGAGAGGTTGGTGCTGCTCTGGAGATCCCCAGTCCATCCCCTGCCTCCTTCAGAAAACGCCAACGTGGAAAGAGAAGCACCAAACATCCTTTCTGATGGGCTCCAAATGACCCCTGGGACAAACCCTTTTTCCTCCACTGTGTTGGTTCAGCTCAGGGTCCCCACAGCTCTTCGGATGCTTCTCCCCTTGCTGATGTTCCCACCCCCAGAAGCAGAGGACATACAAACCAAATACACAGCATGCAAGGACAGCAAGAACATCTCCTAGTCCAGGTGATGAATACTGGCCGAGATGCTCGATTCCTCTCCCATGCAGTTACCAGGCCCTAGGTTATACATGATTTTGAACAAAGAGAGCTAATCAGTGATGGCACAGTTTAAAAGGGCACTTAAAGAACATTTTGTTTCAGGTCTTTGTCCTCAGGCGTCTCACCATCCCATGCTGGAGAAAGGAGACCATAGTTTTTGTCTGCAATGCCGTGGCTTAAATTCAGCCCTGAACTGAACTAGGGAGAAAATATGAAGCAAAATTTACGAGCTACTTAAGTCCTTGAACTGCTCTTTAACTTTTTATATGCCATGATTACATTAGGTGCACTACTCTGGCAGCTTAGTTCAGTGCAGAGAATTGCAAGGCTTCACGAGAACCTGTCTAATGAGGAAATTGGAAAAAATTATCTAGGACAGAACTTCGTTATTCTGAAAAAAGCCCCAGCCTTAAGTGTTAAGGCAGAACAGATGAATAGCATACTGAGGTTTTATTGCATTTAATTGCACGATTTATTAAACACTGACAATTTTTCTTGAATAACCTCTTTCACTGACTTTATTACTTTCACAGGGTAGTGTATGATGTAAAGAAACAACCCTTGGGGGAGAGGTTTGAATTGCTCCAATTATATTTCATATTAGTGGTCAGCAGCGTGATGCCGTGTAAGCTGCCTAATCTAGGGGGGAGCCGATGGGAATGGGAATTTTCAGAAGCATACGGAGGATGAATCAGATTTCGGGAAAAAAAATAATCCCACATGTACCAGATCCCTCCAGCGATGCCAGACAGGAAATAAAGCAGCGAGGTGCCCTAATGCAATCGCGCCGAGCTTTCGCACGTGCTGCAGCAACAGTTGAAGAGTTCAATGCTGCTTACCTCTCCTTACTGATTTGTTTTACTGTAACGAATAGTTCCTCATCAGTGCCCTTGGAGACAAAATAGAAAAGAAAAAGTACCTGCGTGTCTCAACGTGCCCCCCAGGCAAGGCGGATTCCTGCGAAATAGGTTTTCTGGTCAGGCCTCTCCCTGGCACGGGCTGTGACAGTCACTAGCTTGGCACTACCCTTAGTTAAAGAGGGAGATCCAATCCTCCCTTTTCCCCCCCCTCAAGTCACTATTCCTCTTGCCTGGATATGGCAGCTTCAAATGATTTGCCTAATTAACTGGAAGGTTATCTGCACTTAATGCACTCTCAGTGCCCTTCACTGGAATGTAGTTGCCCCCAGTTTGCAGCCTGCTGGGATACTGGCACGGATGCCAAAAGGAGACCTGGTGCGGGAGGGACATGTACGGCCCCCAGCTGAGCACACTGAACCACCTGGGAAGATGGGGTTAAGTTGCACCCCACGGCTACCTCCTGTCCCCCCGCACCTAGTTGGCCCCAACCCTCTTTCCCCTGCCAGCAAAGTTCCCACAAGCACCGCTTCCTTGTACAGGGCTGAGCTTAGCACAACCCTCAAAAGTGCAATGAGTTCTCCCGGTCTCTGCAGGCAGGACACACATGAAGTCCCAGTCCCAGTGCCCCGCCAGCCCAGGGAGGGTTCAGCACAGCAGGGAGAGGCGCTCCTCTGAAAATTAGATCAGTTGACAAGTGGGAAGAATACCCTAATAAATTTAAAGGACTGCCAAAAGCTCAAAATGTGCATTACAGTTACATCTGGCCAAATAATTCACTGTGAATAATAATACATTTGGCAAAAGCCCATGCAAGATGAGAGAGGGAGAGAATAAAAAGGAAACAAACTTCCACTGGCCGGAAAGCTATGAGCGTTACAGAGTCAGGGGACAGCTAAACTTTCCATATTTTCGCCCTATAAATAAAATCTTCTTCTAACATTAATATTCTAGGAAGCAGAATAAAGCTCAGCTTAAGCCTATGATAACGATACTTTTTAGAAAGAGCAGCAGCTGTGCTGCTACCAAGGGCTAACCAAAAGGAATCCGAGTTCTCATTACTTTTCTGCAGTTGCTTTTCTAAAACAAATCGTCAGCGGGGGACAAAAATCCCACTCAAGACGTGGTGCTGCATGCTCCCCTCCTGAATTTTTTTCTGGCTTCATCCATTCTTTATCTTGATTTCCAAGGGAGCCCCCGCGGGTGAATGTTTGCCCAGCGCTGCCCTCTGCCCCGCGGC